CAAACAAATTATATGCAGTTTATGTGATCTCAAAAAAATAAGACAAGGGCATTAAAACAGTGAATTATTATATGTGTATAAAATCTTTCCCTATGAATTTTGGCAGAAATTAACTGTTAAGTTCAAGAGCATAGAGCACAACATGGTTGAGTAGATCAGACTTGTGGACTCTAGAGTTTACCACTTACCTGAAATATGAAACTGTCCACATCAAAAAAACTAAACACAGATTATCCTTAAAGAACCCTGAATTATAAGGCATCCCATGGTACTTTTCTCAAGCCTAATGATGCTATACTTACAGAAGAATTACGGGGGAAGAAAAAGCACAGATTTTTACAAATAAGCTTAGCTGTATGGTGTTCCCTGACATTCTGTATGTACTATACAATAATCCACTAAAACTTACAATAGCTACTTAATGATGCTCATTTAACAAACTGGAACTTGAAGAATAGCTCCTGATAGCAAAAGTGAGAATACATCAGAGTGCCAAAGCTGTCACTTCGAGTACAAATGAAGTTATGTGCACATATTCTAAAGAACCGATGCTAAAGATGGCTGATTACAAGAGAGTAAGCGGTAAATAAAGAAAACTGGACATTACAATAGAAACCGAAATCCAACTTGCTGGTGTCCTCAACTGACAATCCTAGGGCCCAGCAGACTGCTGAACGTGACTTGTGTGCAAACATGTGTGTGGTGGGGGAGAGGTGGAGATGTAAGAAGAGGAAAGTGAACAATAAAATCTGGTGACAAAGTTATCAGAAGAATAATTAAGTGCATAAGCATTAGTTTTCCCTCTTTTCAGGAGAGGGAAAATATTCTTAGATGAGCTTCAGACCAGATAATGGCAGTTTCTCCTGGCCACTGGGCAGCAGGGAGAGGCAGTTTCCCATCTCAGCATCTTCAGTAACTTGACTTTGAGTGATACCCCACCTAGCATCGGATTAGCATATCAACACTTTTGATCAATGGAGCAACAAACACCACTGCCAAGGCAACCCATGGGCTCCTCTTTTCTATTAACGCATCCCCCTGAATGGGACTCATGGAGGACATGCCTCATTGACAACTATACACTCAGTGCAAAACTGAAAAAGTCCTGTATGGCCACAGAAAATGAGGTGAGAAAAAGTCTCCTCAACAAGCCGCATCGGCTACAGGTAACATCATAGTTATCCTATAACTTAGTATTGCAACTTTCAAATTTCCTTGACACTTTGATCATGGTGACTATAAAACTAAACATAAAAAAATAGATGTACTCAAAGGGAGATGACCAGATTAATTGTAATGCTATCCTACTGCCTAGTTTGTTCCTCTCTAAGAAGGATGTAGTTGCATCATGTGGACTTATCACAGTGACAGCTTCGCCTCAGGGTCCTATGAGCATTAAGTGAGGAGGTCTGCCATAAAGCACAAAGTAATAACACAATAAACATTAGCTATATTATTACTGTCATTTAATTTTGAGTGAGTCTCAATAGAAACATCACACACACTAGCAAAACACCACGGAGGAGTAGGCAAGAGAAGGGACCGGAAAGAACACTGATGGTGTGATGGTGTGTTGCTTATTTTAGTAAGTGCAAACAGTGAGATTCCTCTATTGGTCCAGCATCGTTCCAGCCATGGAACGGGCTTACACGTTGGAGTCAAATATCCTCTAAAGTCTAAATCTGCAAAATAATGTTTATAAAAAACATAAAATAAAAAGTGATTGCAGCTTCATGAACCAAACACAATTAAATTTTACAACTAATGTCTACTGTAGAGTGTATTTCAGTAAAATGAATTTTTTTCCCCTTAGAGACTTAGCCACAATAAAATGAGGAATGCATTAAACAGCAGAATGGAAACTATCTGGTGATGAAGAGGTTGGAGCGACAGCCAGGTCAATAGCACTACACCCTGTTGCTAGAAGATGAATTGTATCTGACACTGATGTACTCCTTCAAGATGACTCACTTTACGGTTCTGATTAAGAAAAAAGGGTTACTGCACTAATTTCAGTGACTCAAGTTGTATATTAAAAATTCTAAGAATTATTTAACTATATTTTATATTGTGATAAAAAGTATAGATACCGAATTTTTTAATATACAGTTATATTTTAGGGGGCTTAATTTCAGCTTCAAATGATGTTATGCAGTGCCATAATTTGTTGTATATTATCATCTTGTGACAAATGGCCTGCCTGATTTGAAAATTCTAAATTGTGTGGTCCAAGAAAACACACCAGGCGCCCTCTGTAACTGCCTTCCACTGGACCAGCTTCCTGGATTAACCATTGCCCTGAGTTCTCTCTGTGGACCAGGATGATGGATGCCCCATGGCACTAGCAGACAATCTCTGGTGCCACACACATTCCCACCAGCTGGCCTTCATGCTGACAAAGAGTCAGCTGTGTCTTCCCAAACCTGTTTATACCAGTGGACTTGTTATTATAATTATGAAATTTAATTAAATATTATGAAAGCTGATGGAATGAGCACAAAAGATAAATCTTGTCTCTAGTAGAAACTAAGTTGAAGGCTTTGGAAAGACATAATAAAGGCAAGTCACTAAAAAAGAAAGCTGTTGGATTAAGACGTGGTGAGGCAACTACAAAAAATAAGAAAAAAAAACCCCATAAAACTTAAGATTCTGTAAGATCCAGATTGCTTTGCTAGTGTCTATGTTTTAGCTCTCGTGGTTTACATTATTAACACAACATTGAACTCAAAATAGTAGAATCACTGTCAAAGAAAAGCCCTTGGCCTCACAAGAGTTTGGCAAATATATTTTAATGAAAATAAAAAATTTTGAGTATGTACACTTTTAAAAGATTCCCTGCTTTAACCACTATTTTCAATTAACCAGTTCCAGTTACATTGGCTAAGAAGGTATTTTCCATGCTTCAAATTAGAAACTACTTTGGATTAGTGGCTTTTAAATTTATGAAGTGTTATGATCTAAGCTGATTACTCTGGAATCTAGGTGTTCCAATTTTTATCCCATGCTTTTGAAAGATAAAAAGTAAATTTCCACCAGATTTAAACATAAAAATATGCTCCTTCCCTTTAGTCTAATATGGTAGAGAGAAGAGCACAGCAGTTAAGAACGTGACTCTGGTCAGACACACAGAAAGCGGAGTCCTGGTTCCACCATTACTAGCTCCATGACAGGTTAACCAGTTACATCACTTAACCGCTGTCATCTGGAAAATGCCATCAATATTGGGACCTACCTGAGTGGGCATAGAGAGGCTGAAGTGAGAAAATGCATGTTATATCAAATGCTTAGCAAAGTTTCTGGTACATAAAAGTACTCAAGAATATTCCTATTGCCTAACAGGAAAAAAGTGCCTACTACTACATAACTAAGATTGTAATTAATATGTTCTTTCTTATGTTGGACTCAATGGGTCAATTTTTAGCAAGATGGCCTCCACCTATAGACAGCTCAGAAACACCTGTGGAAAATTTCTCCAGGTACAATAGGCACGGTTCTCCATTGGGTGCAATTTCACTTCCTAGGGGACATCTGGCAATGCCTGGGGACATTTTCGGTCATCACAACTGGGGTGGGGGAAGGAGTACCTATTGTCGTTCTAGAGTGTCAAGGCTAGGGATGCTGCTAAACATCCAACACCCTACAATACACAGGACAGTGCCCCCCCGAAGACTTATTTAGCCCCAAATGCCAAGACGACAACCTTGAGAAACCCTGTATCCTAAAGGACAGTATAAGAGAGAAGTGATTTCTAAAATTTGAACTCCAGAAAATTATTGAGAAGATAAAGATTGCCTAAAAATGAAACTGAGGTTTTCAGTATCATATTGATTCCAGGACCATAAGACATTTAGGAGACATGGACACTTCGTAACAAGACAAGATTCTTTGCGTCAACAAACGCTCTTGAATGAGGTCTATCATGTAACAACCTTACAATAAATTTTATTCCAACGTCAGCAATGTCATAAAACTATAAGGACTCCCAGAAATGAAACTTCATTCGGAAGATAAATCTAAATATCATTCAAAAGCCCAAAGACAGTAGGTGGGAAATCAAAACACTGCTATCATCCTCTGCACACAGGGGGCCTCTCAACCAGCCGCAGAGATTGCCGAGCCAACGGCCCCCAGACGTGTGTCCTTCCTTGGCGAGCACCCTGTTCCCTAGCTTTGGTATTTGCACGACTTAAGCTCATTTTTCAATTAATAATGCTGCTCAAAAAACACTATTTGAAAGCTCTTAAGAATTCATTTAAACCACTTATTTTTCAATAAATCACAGAGCCTTTCTTAAAGTATGAGATAAAACTGTATACAAAGTATAATCCAACAATCTATCTATATGTTTTCCCCCCACAAAACACCAAACAGGAAGTCATCAACTTGTGGAGGGTCCTTATCTCTTCAGTGCCTTCTCTACCCCAATCTAGAGGACCTAGATTGGATTCCTGGCTCTGACACTTATTGGCTCTGTGACTTTTGCCAAACAATGTAATTAATTTTCACTAAAATCCCTGCGAAATGAATAGCAATGTATTACAATTCCCGTTTACTGATGGGAACATTGAGGTAGAAAAGAAAGGGTCACGTACTAACTGTAAAAGTGCCAAATAAATGAAAGGCAGCACTAAGGTTATTTTTGTAATCCTTAAAAAAAAAAGCTATATTTAAAATATTTTTAACTTTATATGACATTTATCCCTGAAGGTGACACAGAAAGTCTTCTAGACAAAAACTCTAATTTGATCCACTAAATCAAAGGGTTTTTTTACTTTTAAAAAACCATTATTTAATACACATTTTTATACCTGAAAGGAGGAAATAACTCAGAAAGATGCAAAAAGAAATACATTGCAGCAAAGGCTACTTAACTATTTTACCATCAAAAGAAGGAATTCATGCAAATCTTACATCACACTGCTAAAAAACCTAAGAGGCAGGACTCTACTTTTTTCCAGAAAGTACAGGACAAGAAAATTAAATAAAAGATCTCTCCTCACCCTTCTGATAGAAGAATTTCCTGTAATAGTATGCACCCAGATCCACATGTTCCACAATGTATCTTTTCACTCGATCTAGATGCAACACCAAGTTTTCCTTGGGCACTTCAAGTACTGCCACTCCTGCATTTGTGCAATGGGAGCTGAGTGTTGACTCAAAGGAGGCACTTTCGCATCCACTAAAGGAGCCAGAATTTGATTTCGACAGGCTGATTTTCCTTTCACCTTCTCCACCGATCTCATTCCTAAAATAGGGGCAACTCATTACAAGTTCATTGCTTTTATCGTCTCCCTGGTCCATGCTGAGGCTGCCTTTGGAATTCAGGTCCTCCGTGCTGCCCATTGGGGAGCTAAAACTGGCCGAGTGGGACAAAGGTCCAGAGACCAAGGATGCCACAGCAGCCGCCGAAGCCCCCGTGGTGGTGTTTCTCCTCTTAATAACGTTGTGCCTGTTCATAATCGCCTCATTCAAGTCAAACAGTATACTCTGGACATCGTAGTGGGCAAAGCACTTTGGACACGTCCAGGGCCTGACGGAGTCTTCTGACCGGTTATCTTCAAGATCCGACGATTTCCCAAGTTCTTCACCTTTGGCATTGCGTAATTTACGAAAAATGGAGGAGTCTCCAGTTTCAGACTTGGAACGTCGCTTGAGTGGTTTTTCCCTTTCCTTAAAGAGCCTGAGGTTCTCTCTCTGTGAGATGGGCCCGTCTATAACATCCAAAGAGAAACCAGACCCCTTGCCCCCACCGGTGATGAGGAAGTCACTGAGCTTGGTTGGAGTGGGACCTCGATCAGATTTGTCGTCTTTGTAGCCCTTTAGCAAATCAAAGAAGCTTTCTCCGGACGTTCCCTGCTTATCGATGGAAGATGTGCTACCATATTCCCTGTGCAGTGACGGCCCAGTCTTGTACGTGGGCGAGATACATTCATCAAAGCTATCCACGTCAAGTTCACTTATGGTGATATCGCTGTTGCTCCGTTGCCTTATTCTGCGAAGAGCTTTTCTGGGGGAGCTAGGATAGGCTTCAGGCATGAGAAATCGGGAGTCCATGTTCTCCGATGGTCTCGTCTTGTTCTTCAGTGTGTTCTGAATGCTTTTTAACATGGCTGAGTCACTGGAATTGAGGCTAACAGAACTTCCCTGACTCACAGGACTGCTTTTGGAGGACAAGCTCTCAAGGCAACTTGAGGTTTCTATTTCCTGGCTTGAACGGCTAGATTCTTTTACATTTTCCTTTCTTGGGGGCCAATCTGCAATCCTCGCCCTAACCCCCATCTTGGGGACTCCGGGGGTCGAGGTTATATGGTGAGAACCTTCGCTTCGCGGGGGGCCTACGGGAGCCATGACCGAGGAGCCTAAGCTGCCATTTTGGGACCTGAAGCGCCGCATGTAGAAGTCGTCAGTGTGGACTTTGGGAGGGCCATCTGTGCCGACAACCGAGGCCCTTTCAGTAGCAACAGGCCTCTCCGTCTGCGACCGTTTCAAGCTGGTCATGATGTAAAAGCAATTAGACTTAAATCCTTGCAGAAAGGACCATCATCTCTGAATTTTAAATGAGCACTTCCCTTTTGGAGAATGGTTTCCAAAAAACACAGCAGTTGCATGAGATCTTAATCTTTTTCATTTAAAAGGTTAAACGATGCCTTATTTTCAAACCTCTGAAGAATCCCGATCTTCAAAACATTATAATCCACAACAGCTCCTCTGCGTCACTTTAATAGACGGCTTTCTTTCAGAAAAAGCCAAAAGCAACTTGTATTACTGGGACTCTGCGATGGTCATAATCCCATGCTTTCTCTGAAAGAGAGGAGGACAATTGGAATTAGTATTTGATAAGTACATCTAAAAATAAACATGCAATTGCCAAAACCAGACACGAGGAAATAAAAGACTCAATAATGGATTGTGGTACACAGTTCACAACTCATATTTTTCATAAAGCAGGTTTGAGAGAAAGGAAGAAAGTGAAAGCATTTAATAAAATTCATCACTTAAATTATATATGTTTTAAAAGACTTAATATTTCAGCTTAATGGAACTGTTTCATACACGGGGGCGGGGGATGGGGGGGGACAGACGCGGGATCTTGTTCCAGGAGATAAGGCTCCTTCCCCAAGTACAGGCTTCAATGACCTCTAACAATGTAGAATGTCATGAACCACCGTGCTGACCAGAAGTTGGGGACATAACCAGAGTTCGATAATGAGAGCAATGCACAGTTTTTTAACAAGACTAAAAATTGAAAAATTATCGACTATCTTGCAACACTCACTTTTTTAACACCTTCTGTGTTTCAAAATCCTTATTTTTTGTTTCTTTACAAAGGCTTAACATAGTTGGCAAAAGCAAATACAATAGAGACAAAATAAACAGGGTTTTCCCGGAGCCTTTATACCCATTAGCCCTCTTTCGTATTTCCCTCGACTTTATTACTTACCCCGATGAGGAATATTTTAGAATGAATCCAGCATTCACCACCACCTCTTCCCGAGCTCTCCGTAGTTTCATCTACTCTTAAAGCTAGAAATATTTCACTAATTACCAAAATGCCTGCATTTTCTTACGCATTGCAACCTACCCCACCCTTCGGTGCTAATTTATGAAGACAGCAGAAACAAAATGCTGCTCTGGATAAACCTCTCCATATTCCCCAACAGACGGCAGAGAATTGTTAACATCCTTCCAGGTGACGAGCGAAGAACACCAACTTCCTCATGAGCACGTCAGTCAGGAGGCAAGAGGCACAAATTCTGAGTACAAAACCCTGCATGGTTGCGTACATCCTGAAAATAAAGGCAGAGGACCCTTTTCCAAGGCTCCACAAATTACAAAAGAGGTGGCCTTTAAATTCTTGCCAAATACATGTTTGGAAAGATGCTGCTGAACCAGCAGTGAGCTGACAGGGCTGCATTGTCTACAAATCACAGCTGACACCCTGAGGACGACCCGCGCTCGCTGCGCTCCGCTCAACGTAACAAGCACTTACTTCCAGGATAATTAAGCATCTCGCTAGTCGGCTTCCTGCCTCTGAGGCAGCCGCTTTAATTTCTCTTGCAGTACGCAGCATCATTTTAGAAGCCTCGCTGCTATTTAAAGGCTGGAACATTTAGGGGTGTTTCAGAAACTGCATGCCGCCTGCAGAATGCAGCGCCAGCGAGCTCCAGCTGGGCTCGCACGGGCTGGTCTGGGCTGCCGGTCAGCTAAACGCCAATTGTTTTCACTCTGGCTGCCCTCTTCCCCATCTTTTGTGATGGGGATAATGATTTTGCATCACTACCTAATTAAACCTGGCTTTTGAGCTTTCTAGATGCTTCTGCCATCAGACTGCTATGATTTCCTTTACATTTCAGAACTTTATTTGCTCCTCTTGAACTGTAAGCCCTCAAGTGGAGTATGTGCTAACTGTTGCTTCCAAAGGCAGGGAGGGGCAGCATACATGGCCACAGCCAAGGTTTAAGGAGTGCTCCTCATAAAATGGAAGGAAAAGCAGTCAACTGAACCAAAATGCAAAGTAAATACCAGCCTGTCTCCAAAAGAAATATCTTTTGACCACCAAAACCAGAATTTATGAGTTATTTTGTAACTAGGGGGAAAAAGCTGTTTATTGCAATGAAATGTCTTTCAAAGAAAAAATATACTAGCATAAAGAATAATTCTAAGTAGATTCTTATAAAAATCAGATGTTTTCAACATTTCTCACAAGCTCACAGAAATCCAAATACATCCCATACCCTCCCCAGAGCTTTCCTTCTCTTTCAATCCCACCATGAGAAACACTCATTCTTGACATGTTTCATTTCCCTTAGAACATAGTTTGTTGCAGAACCGTCTTTCTTAGGATATGTGAAGTTACATCCACAGTAGGAGGAAACCGAAAGCCAGCGCTGCAGTACGATAACGAGAACTGACTTGGAGATGCCCAGTCTTGGCGGCCACTCCCAGTGCTCCTCCTCAGAACCAGCTCACATGCTTCCTATGTTTTTTAATGAGTTTTAAAAAATCTTATATTTCAACACAAACATTTCTTCACAATCTAAAAGAAATGCCAAGACTCCTATCACATCTTGGTTATAACAACCCAATGTTTTCTTTTAATTTCAAAACACGGACGGGCACACAGGCGAGCGAGTGCCTACAGTTACTGACCATGAAAACGGACGAGGCTCAAGAGGGACAGCTAAGTTCAGTCACAGATCTTTATTTTTTTCTGTCATGAGGACCTTCTTTCCTATTTTCATTCATCCTCTCCATCTCTCTCTCTCTTCCTTTCCCTCTCCCTCTCTTTCTCCATCCTTATTTATACCACCAAACCCATTTAGGCGCAATACACTTTGGACACTGACTAGCATATGTAGAAACATGCAGGCTTTGCATTTATTAAACTACTAGTCAAAAATAAAGATGGCATCCACGTGTGCAATATGATGACAGATCAGTAACACCTAAAACCTATTCCTTAGGGTTAATGGAAACAGCAAACACATGGTGACACTTATTTGCAATTCTCGTAATTGTCAACAAACCTGCCTGAGCATTATTAAATAAGATAAAAAGCAACAGAATTAAATAGAAGAGCAATACTAATTTACAGCATGTCAACTGCATCTGTGGAAGGAGTAAACTATACAAAAAATGTCCTTGTTACAAGTTTCATACCACAGCTCTAGGTACTATTTGAGACTCCACGGTAGATCCATGCAGCTAGAATCCCAATCTCATTGTTTAAGTTCAGCGAGTTCACGGAATTCAGAAAACAAGACGACGCACCCAAATTCTACTAGCTGGAAGCCTTCATCACTCAAGGTTTATCACATCGTAACCCTCGCCCTTTTCTGATAACGCCAATCTTCTAGGAAAAGTGCTTCCTCCTCTCCTCTAAATCATCCCCAGCTTTTCTGCATTCTCTCTGAGCACTGAGTACACACTGGGTGCGAGGATATTTGAGGAAACAGTCCCTCCCCTCCAGGGAAGCTCCAGGTGTAAAAACAGTTCTTGTCATACTGGCTCTTTGAGACATGTACACTCTTGATCCCTCCCTCCTTCCTGAAACTCTCTCTTCTCTGCACTTCCATGATAACCATGTTCTTCATTTTTCTCTTGCCTCTTTCTTTTTGCTGGCTCCTCAATATCATTGTTGGGCTCCAGTGCAAAGCTAGTGATTCCAGGATGGTGTCCTTGGCTTACTTCTCTTACCATTCTTCACATTTTTGGAAGGGGATGTAAAGGGTGTTGGTATTATGATGCATGTGGCCACACAGGGCATCAGGATGACACAGCAGGCATGGGTATGCTGGAGTCAAAATATGACTATGGAAAGCCGGCTGTGACTTGGTCAGATCACAGGTGCCTGTGCAACGGAATGAAGACAGAATAATGAAATTACTTGGGGAGGTATCTGCATGGTAGCTAGTACTGCCTGGTGATGTCACAGGTACCTGCACCTTTAAATATCATCTCTACATAGATACCTCCAAATCTCTATTCATGACTCTCCCCCTAAACTCTAGATAAAATATATGCAAGTGCTCATTTGATATCTTCCTTATTTATCTATTTTCTACAATGAATAACTAATAAGCAGAAAAAGGGAAAAATAATTTTTTTCCAAGAAATAAATGGGTGGTAAGGAAGTCAGAACAATAAATAATTGAAGGAACCAAATGAAAGGGACAACATGGGAAACTCTTTGTGCCAAGGGCATAAGGAACAGGTTAAAGGCAACACAGAAGATGTGGGAAGGGAAAAAAATGAAAAACAAAAAACTACCACAGTTCCTGTCCTGAAATAATTTACAGTACAAAATGGTATATTCACTAAAACATATAGCATTCCTCATCAAATACTTCCATATTCCAAAATGGGATGTTGTTACATTCCTTAACTGGTATAGCCTCGACTACGGGGCCAGTTCTCAGTGTCTCAGGGCAAGAGAGGGAATTTTGATGATGAATAACTAGACAAATGCCCCAATAATCCAGAGACATAAAATATGAGAATTTAGGAAAGTGTCAATGGAAACAGTTTAGGAAGTTGTATATATAGATTTAGAATTCTCGCTTTAGAAAGCAACAGGAAACTTTATTGAAAAACAGAAACATAACTTCAGAATGCTTGAACATTAGAATAGCTAAGATAACCAAATAAGGCAAAATGCTTTCTTTACATCCCTTCTCAGCTTTCTTGAATTTCATGCACATTAAAGTAAGGTCTCAAATAAAAGGGATGCCTTGCTCTTTCAGGTTAGCCTGACACACACACACATATCTCAGTATGTTGTGGATAATTTCAGATTCATGAATCAGCACAGAACTTTTCAGACTGGAATTTCCGCCTTCTTTCATTTCCGGTCTGTCTCTTCCACAAAAAGCAGGCAGAATTGGGAAGAGAGAAGTAGATAAATCTAGTTCCTGCTAACAAAACGCTCACTATCTGAAAGCACCACCAATGGACACAAAGTAGATTCCAATACCTTGTGCTGAAATTACCAAAGTGAATAAAGAAGCTATGGATACAAAACATGTTAAGGGATAAAGTTACCTTTGGATTTAGAGGTAAGAAAGCAATTTAAAATGCACCTGTTTGGCCAAAGCAAGAACCAAGAGAGAATAACATTTGCCTCCGACCCGCCCTCCTAACTAAAGATACATGTCGAAGGCCTGGGTAAGGCTTGAAGATACTTTGCTTGGCTGGGAGTGAAGGAAACAATGTGAAAATTTGGCAGAAAGCTTGATGGCAGAAGGTGGGGGAGACAGAAAGAAGGTCTGGAGCAAGTTGCATGGTGGAATTATTGATGGGTA